TTTTCATCATTACTGATTCAATATATTACCCAAAACTACTGATTCTTGATACATTAAGGTATATTTATGATTCTTAATAAAAAAAATAAAGGTTAAGATCAAATATCATGAGATTTTAAGAAATTTTATACACGCACAATGTATTCATTCAAGACACTAAATGGTAGACTTTTGCCACGCTATCGTAAAATTACATCAACTCAAATAATGAAATAGATACGATAAATAAAGACATACTGGCTTACCTTTATCTATTCTATTGCTTTTCTGTTACTCCAGCCTCTAAAAGWTGGAGAAAACCTCTTTTAAGTATCTAAATGTAGAACACAGAACATCAATGAAAATATGGAGGCTTCTTAAGTGAAATATTGCCCGCGTTGTAATAATCAGCGGTTGATTTCATTAATTAGCATAAATTTGAATGAAGTCTCACGCACAAACCTGCGAATGTTTTTTGTCTCTGTCCAACTATCTTTGTCCATTTTTGTAAATTCTGTCATTTTTATCTCATTTTTTTAGTGTTTCGCTATTTTACTTTTTCATCCCTTGCTTTTTTTTTAGAGCGGAAACCTGCATGAATTATTCTCTAAGCCTCTCGATTGCGCTATCGCATACTTCGTGTCTGTCTGTCTGTCCGTCCATTTAGTTTTTCCCGACTTCGGTTGGAATCGTAGTGTCTTTTCTTTTGGTTTTTAGCCGTTTTGGTTTTTTATTTCTTCTTTCTTGATTTTATCTAAGGCTCTTATGTAGATATTGTACCACAGGAAACCCAAATAAAGAAAAATGAACAAAAATAAATCTTTAACGCGAAACTCGCGCATTATTATTTTATTTCGAGCGGATGGAAACGAATAAAACTAATGCAAAACTCAATTGCTTTTCTCTCTCGAATTTCCAGTCAAGTTTTAAATGAATTATGCAACAGGCATCCCACAAAGAACTGAGAAAATGGAACGAATCACGATTAGGCCGGAATAATTACATAGGTCGGTAGGACTGTGAAAGAAGGCAGCTAAAATAACCATACTAAGACATTTTTCGTAGCAGTTTTTTTTGTCTAAGGAGACATATTTCAAWGATGGCGTCTATTTCGTCCCATACCACTGCCCCAAAATGCACTGCGATGCCAACTCGATCCAGATTTTCCTCGACCTCGGAATGGCTAAAAGGATATAGCGTTAGACAGGAATCAAGGATTTTCAACCCTCGTTACCAAATTCTACCRTCTGCATAGGCAGGGTTTTGGGCCGCATACTCATGCCTTGCGCTGGATTCTGCAAACTTTGCTTGTATAATGGCCGCCTTTT